CCCCCGCCCCCTCTTCCCCTCAGCCAGCCCCGGGGCCTCCGCTCCCCGCCTTCCTTCCTCCTGGCCAGCCCTGCCCCTCTCCCAGCCAGTCCCTCCCCCCCTGCCCACGATCAAGTGTGTCCGGTATTTTGGGGGGGGGGGTCTAGCTGGTAACTCTAATGGTTTTATGAGAAGCAATCCCATTCCAGGCACTTCCCATTTTCCCGCCCCCTCTTCCCCTCAGCCAGCCCCGGGGCCTCCGCTCCCCGCCTTCCTTCCTCCTGGCCAGCCCTGCCCCTCTCCCAGCCAGTCCCTCCCCCCCTGCCCACGATCAAGTGTGTCCGGTATTTTGGGGGGGGGGGTCTAGCTGGTAACTCTAATGGTTTTATGAGAAGCAATCCCATTCCAGGCACTTCCCATTTTCCTGGCACAACCAAAGTCTTACTTTGCTTAAGTTATGCTAAGAGGAAGCTGTATGCTGAATTTGGTAGTCCTAGCTCTTACTGTTTACGATGAATTCTTGAACAAAATAAACAAACAGACAAACTCTCTCAACTATATAGTAGATATGTGTGTGACCGAACTAAGAAAGATGCCTGTGACACAACTAATATAAACATCTCACTGTTTATTGTAGCCTGTATTAATGTGACACCATGGGTACAGATATAAACCTTCATTGCTGATTAATGCAAAAGTGTTATGATGCTTGCCTGGCCCATTGAATGGCCGAGAAAAGATAATTTAAATAAATTGTTTTAAGATAGCCATGAAATGCAAGAATTTACTAAAGTGAACTTTGTAAAAGAAGAAATTGGTAATAATTTAGCAGCACATTTTTACCGACCAATTATTTCTTAAAATCAGGATTAAAAGCTGTGGTCAAAACTCCTGAATCTAGTTACTAGGCCACGTTAGCTCAAAGTTCTCACATTGCAGAGATCAGTCAACTAGTTAAACGTGCATATCGGATAACCACACAACAGATTAGTTTAGATTCATTTTCAGAACTGGCTGCACACTATGAAACAACACAGAGTGATACTTTAAAAATAACTGGTAATCTAAAGATTACATTATAAATTCATGCACTTCACCAACAGGTTTTGAAAAAGAAGACTCAAAGCTGTTAAGAAGCCTTACCTATATTTATTTTTGAAAAAGTGTCATTACTTCCCAGTAAGTTTCCTACAAAACTTGATTTTTATAATCTTGGTTATACCCTGAAACTGTGCTAAAAATATATACACACACCCCCTTATATTTTCTAGGTCACATAAGCCTGCTGTCTGTGATGAGCCAAGTAAGAATCTGACTCTAGTCTGTATGATGACACTGCAAAAACACCCTAATCAAAGATATATTATTACATACAGACCATCTTAGGTTTTGTTGGAGCTGGCCAAATATATCCTGCCTCTTACCATTTCATTGAGGGCACTGTATGAATTAAAAGGCATAAAATGCCATAATAAATATAACATCTATTTCACATGCATGGGAGATTAGTGTATTGACACATTCAAGTTTGTTAATTATACCCATGCATGCTTCATTCAGACCATATATCTCTGTTGCTATATTTTAGAGCACATACAGATAGATAGGCCAAGATTATTCATGATCTTTTGAGCAGGTGCAGAATAAATTGGGGAAGAGTCCCTCATTTGCATGCCACAGTAGGAGCCAGGAACAATACTTTTAAGCTCATGAAGATCAAGAGCTGTTCAGTCTTTCTTTCCAAAAATAATAAGGAAGAAGCTATGTTAATACTTTTACCAGCATATCTGTATTTGTTTATGAACAAAAATAAACCTAAATCTAATGGTTAAGAGAGAGAAACAGAGGTCAGGAGAACTGGATTCTCACAGCATGAGTTACTTAAACTTACTGAACCACAGTTTATCTAGCAGACAAATGGGAGTAATTAACCTTTCCTGACATTGTAAAACACATTGTGATCCCTCACTGTAATACATCTACAAAGGTTTTGGCTTTACTGCCAAAAGAGGTGTGCATTTACCATGTGATAACTAACGCATGATGTAGGTTGAACTTCTGCAGTTTGGCACCCTCAGGACCTGACTGGTGCCCATCCAGAGAATTTGACAAACCACGGAAGGTCAATATTGTGTAGCAGCATTAGTAACACTTTCACTGCTTACTGGGCTCTCAGAAGACATCTGGGGTAAATTAGAACTAAACAACAG